TTTTCTGGTTTGTAATTGTCATGTCTGGATTGAATAAACCCTCATTTGTCTGGCGTCCCGGCTTTAGTGTGGCCTTCACCTGTTCTCTGGTGTCCCTGCTGCCCTCTGTACCCTGGCCTGTCCCTGCCATATGATCCCTGCCTTGCTCCCCTGTGTCCCTGTTCCATCCCGGCCAGCTCATAGTTGTGCCTCGCAGTCACTGTTGAATAAGCATGGTTGACACACAGGCCTTCAGTCACAGGGCTTAGGGTTTATGTTTGCAGTGTGAATGCCCTTTGTCCTGTGCCCTTTGTCCCTGGGGATGTGTGACTTGGCTTGTGCACCCTGTGGTCTGTGTGGGCAGGTCTGTCACTTGAAGGTCTGCTGCTGTGTTCTGCAGGTTCATGGGTGGCCTTGGTCTGGGTTCTTTCCTGTGATTTGGAGTCATCCTCTCCTCCTTCCTGAGGAGCCTTCTTTGGAGGCTGAAAGTTTGGAGATGATTTATAGAAGTTGTCTCCACCTCCACGTGCTTTTCTTTTTCAGTGAGGACTAAGTGTCAGCCTGCAACCTGTTGCCTTCTCAGAGAAGCTTGCAGTGCACCAGTGGGTGTTGCTCTTGGAGAGGACTAGGTGTTGTTCCAGTCTGTCCGACATCCATTGTTGAGACCCTGTGTCACTGGGGCGCACCCTCCTTGGTTTGAGTGGGGTGTGGCTTCTGCCCCATGTGGACTTTGTGTGTCCTCTTGTTCCGAGGCTGTGCTTCCCAGTGAGTGAGTGGATGTGGTCCCTGCCACTTGATTTTGTGCAGTGGCCCTACTGAGGAGCTGGCTTTTTCCCGTCTGTGTTGGGCTGGGGATGCTGATCTGTCTGCTTCTTCTGAAGAATCTTTTTCTTTGTTTTTGGATGTGGGAATGAACTTTTAAACTTGATTCAGTTTATAAAATAATTAGTTTATGGAGGTACTTAGTTTTCTTTTACGTTTGCAGGTTTATTTGAGTAAGTTACATTTTTCTGCAGATCTGTTTCACATTTAAGATTTTGAATTTTTTAGTGAAAAGGTGATCATACCAGTTATTTTAAATGTCGCTTCTGTTTTGTTTTATTCTTCCCATTCTGTATATTGTTTTGATCTTTCTTCCTTGACTGTGCTTTCTAAAGTTTATGTCTTTGTTCCTTTGGTGCTGGGGATAGAATCCAGACCTTGTACCTGCTAGGTAAGTGCTCACCCCTGAGCCTCACCCCAGCCGGTGTGGACCTCTCAGTATGCTGTCGCAGGCCCAAGTGTCCCCCTCAGTACTTGCAGTAGCTGCTCTTGTGTCAGTACCTTCCTACTGACTTGAACCTCCAGTGGTATAGGCTGCCAGGTGGGTTATTCCTGCATGACCGCCCTATCATGAACACGTCAGTGTCCCATGTCACCTCATGTCCAGGGATGGTCCCCTTTGTGATGGTGACATCCAGCAAGTGCCTGAGGGTTGCACTGTGGAGACTCCTCTCGTTTTCTGGGACTCATTCCTCTGTTCCTTCTGACTTGTCTCTAAGCCATGAAAGTAGGCATCATGGTTGTTGTGAGCAGGCACTCTTCAGGCTGCTTTCTGGTGTCTCAGAAAGGCCTGTCCAGCCTGGCCCGTTGTCGGGTTGATGTCTTGCTGAGCTCTGTCACTTGCAGTCTTTTCCTCATAACACCGTGTCCGTGTTGAGGTGCGGGGGGGCTCTGTTCCTTTTTCTTCAGCTCTGTCTCATCCTGGGTTCATCAGACTCCTGCTTATATGAGCCCTAAAAATATGTCTTTTTTTTCCCCCTGTGCTGGGCAAGTGTTCCGTCACTGAGCTGCCTCCCCAGCTGGACTCTAGCATTCTTCACCTAAGGTCTTGGAGATGACATGTACATCACTGGGGGAGGTGATGTAGTGGATTTAGGTGGACTGGCTCTTGGTCCAGCACTGCCACCTAAGGCTTGGGCGTCCACCACCTGGGCTGTCCTGTCGACTGCTGTCCTAGTGTGAGTCTCCACGGAGGCATGCTGGGAGTTTAGTTGAAGTACTGTAATTTCTTCCATACATACTTGAACAAATGGGCCACTTGTGAATTATTAGCTGTTAAGTGATGTTTGGTGGGGCTGCATCTCTGAATGGGATGGGATTACAAGGAGACAAGTTAGCCTTTCCATGGACAAAGGTTTCTCACTGTTACAGGGAGAGAGATTCACCCTCCATTTTCATGTTGATTTGTTTCACGGACTTGAATGCTGGAACCTTGGTGACATCTAGAAGTAGACTATATAAAAGTAGATTATTTTGCTATAGCATTGTGCTCAAAAAAAAATTTTTTTTTTAATCTCCTTCAAAGTAATACTGGAAATCACAAACTGAAGTTCCTCAGCTGACCTTCGCTTAAGTCCTTGAATTTTTCTGGAAGCCAGAAGTAGGCAGCTTATTCCAAACCTCCTGTGGCTTGGAATAACTTGGTTTTGTGTCTGTTGTGGACAGACCTCTGGAGACAACATTGCCAAAACCTTCTGTACTCTTCCCCGGGAGGTACTGGTTTTGTTTGTGTTCAGAAAGGCTTGGAGAAATCTTAAATATTCTCTTAAAAAAAAACAAAACAAAACTTATTTTTATTAGTACATTTGCAGTTTCTAGTCATTCATTGTGTGATTGAGTATACTCTTGACAATGCTGTGTTTAAGTATTTTTAAAATAGAACATAGAATCACATTCATAAAATAGCTTGTGGGTTACTAAATGACCGTGAACCCCCTTGTAACTGCAATCCATGTCAGAAGACAGCTCCTCCCGCTGCTAGGACCAGGTGCCATCCTGACCTGTGTGAGCCTTATTTTACCCTTTTCCCTAAATACTTCAGCTCTCTGTGCCTTTGATACTATACCTGTATTAGTCAGTTTTCAGCTCTTATAACAAAATAGCTGAGGATGGGGCCCTTATAAAGAAAAGAGGTTTGTTTAGCTCATGTTGAGTTGGGGCAGCCCTATTGATTTGTGTTCCGGCAAGTGTCACATGGCATGGATATACATGGGAAGGAGGTCACAAGCCAGGCAGGAAGGCAGGAGAGGCTGTTCCTTCAGCCTGCATTGTGCACTACCTCTTAAGTCCTGACATTCTTAATACTGCCATGCTAGGGACCACACTTTCTGCACATGGAGCCTTGGGGCACTCTGCAGCCAGACCGCAGCACTGTGTGTCCTCTGATCTCTGTCCTAAGGGTCCTGCTTGGGCTCCTCTCTTTGCAGTGTGGTAGAAGTGGTTTCTTCAGATTTGAGTGCAGTTGCCCCTGGTTGGGTTGTGCTCACTACATGTCTGTGCTGTGGGATAGCGTGCTCTGCCCTGTACTTCCTGGGCGGTGGTTGTTGGGCCTGGGACTCTGGGTGCATGTTGAGGGCTGGATGTGTTGGTCAGTGGTTGGGCTGCTTCTAGGAGGGGCGTGGTGAGGTGCCTGCCTTCTGACTTCCTCTTGGGGCACGCTGCTCCTTGTCAGGCGGAACCAGCGCCTGACATGTGTGAATGGATACCTAAGGGCACACTTCAAGTGTGTTCTTAGCAGAGCCTTGTGACTCACAATCTGTGGCTGTTAATATTTCTAGAAATCTTGATGCTGGAGGAGGTGCTGGCTTGTTTTATGAGGGAGGTCAGAATCTCCCCCCCCCCCCCC